AGTGAGGGTTTATGGAAATCATCACTTTCGTGATCCTGCAAGTTCGTTAGTCATGAACTTCGAATATCTGGTGCTCAATATGTTTAAAAGCAGTTTTGGGAGACCTGTTTCTCAGTATTGAATGATCTGGGAATCACTTCCTTAAATTTGGGGTCTAGTTGAGATTGAAGCCGAGATTTGTTTGATTTGAAGCAAGTCGCTGAGGCGGACCATTTACTTCAGTAAACTTAATCTTTCTCCGCCACTTACGCGGACCTCTTGTTTGGTGATTGGAACTTTTTGGTAGTGCAGATCAATTGCTGTTCTTGGGGCTTCTCAGAAATCATGCTACATCGTCATCGTTCAAGCTAACATCTTGGATCACACCGCAATGGTCACTTTTTTTCTCCTTTTAGCTGATGGGTCATCCAGGTCCGTCGCATGCTCCTATTCAGAAAGCCCAACTGCCTCCAAAACCACCAGTACCGGTAAGTGTCAGTCAGTCCTTCCTTCTGAAGGATTTGCTTCTGAACGGATGCCTACTTTACCTCGGTTTCAGCGTCCGGCGGTTCGACACATACCGGCTGATGACTGGCTTACCTACAAATTAGATCACGGTAAGCTCTACAAGTGCGGTGCGGACATCTCGAAAGAACTGGAGAATCACAGTCTTTACATCCATGACGTGGCTGACATCTGGGCGCTCTATCCCCGACAGTTACAGAAGCCCGATCTGGGCATGCGGCGTTCCGCACCGCCGCCTCCTAAGTCTCACAAATCACGTCCCTTAGGTCCTCCGAGTAAACAGCGCCGCACAACTGGTGGTGGACACCAGCACCACGCTCCGCCACCACCACCACCAGATGACTACTTTGATGAGGATGAGGAAGAGGACGAAGATGAGGAGGGTCTGGGTGACGTGGATGATGAGGATGATGCATACGGATATCACCCAGGTCCCTCATCTTACCTAGAATCGCCCCCGTCCAGGCACCACCGCTACTCACGCCACCACCAACAGCCAACAGCGACTCCAAATGTCCCACGTGGAATGTACCATCGGAAGCAACAGCAGCATATCGAGTCCAGTGGTCAGTACGGTGGACTAAGCAAGCGTCGCACGCGTGGCGATAGTGCTGGAGTCCGTCGCTCACCTCGGTGGTAAACTCGGCATGTTTGCGAGCTATTGTGTACATACCCTAGCACATTCACTGTTTTTCCCACCCACCCGACCTCCCTTTTCCCGTGTGAATCCACGTGACCGTGTTCGTTTGCATTAGTACTCCATTTTCCTCCCCTTCCTTCTATGAGGCCATACTGGCTTTGGCGAGGATTCTAGGTGTAATCTTAGCAGCTGATATGGGGCAAAAGGAACGATGAGGCAGCCATCGCGCGCAACGGATCCCATGCCGTCACGCCACGCACGCTATATTTGAGGTAGTTCATGAATAAACGCGAGTTACCAGTGCTTTTCAAGAATCTCAGCTCTACCGAAGCAAATGTTTGCGCGCATTCCGGTGGCGTAGCCGACGAACTTACTGGTGACGAGCTGAATCTTGATCAGGTGCTGCTCATCTAAATCAATTACCTGATCGATGAGGCGGTTTGTGTAAGAAAAGTTTGAAAATGATAGAGGTGGCGTTCGGTATGAGCTTGTCAACAGCTTAAATTGGTATCTGTAGGGATCCACGTTCAATGTAGAGACAGTAGGTGGTTTAAACATGTATTCCCAGCACTCCGGAGGGAAGACAGGAGTTCAGGAGTGGCAGAGAGGCCCTTCGAAGAAGACTCGTTGGTGAGTGGTGAACATAGCGACAGAGATGCGACTTGGCAACCACCGATTGGAACAAGAAAGCCTCTCGTCAACACATCCTGCAGGGATAATTTCAATAATGCACAGTAAAAATATGATCTAGTCGTCTTCAGTAGCGTGTTTGCTGTCGTGAGCCGTATCCAGAAGAACGCCACTGGATGGAGGGGTATAGGTTGCCGCTTCCTCTACTGCTGCCGCCAACACTATCATTGGAGAAAGTGACAGCTTCGAGGTTGTGCGACCGCGACGAAGATTGCCAACTAGGAATGGACTTAGTAGTGCCTAAAGTGAAAAGATAGATCACTTGTCACTAATATCCATTAATTTGCGAGCGGACGTACACGGTTACGCATCAAGAAGTCGCTGGATGCCCAGCTTGATGGGATCTCATTATTTCAAACAACCCTCAAGAGGAGACGAAAAGTTATCCACATGGCAATTCATGCTAAATTCGAAACTAATAAAAGGTTTCGAAGGCCGTATGAAAGCCTTTAAATGTCCAAATAGGACGAAGAACTCACTGGATCGATGTCCGTAGTCAATGACATGGGAAACCTTCTGTGAGTTCCTGGAGGGACCGGATGCTTGTGAATAACTTTGATGACTACCACCACCATTCGAATGCCTGGAATAGACGTTGGTAGATGAAGTTTCATAACTGAGGCGGCGCTTGTGGGATGGCAATGAGGGAGGGGAAGCTCGACGTGTGTAACGAACAGGTGGAGGTAACGGCATTGGCGACCGAGACCTATTCACTCCGCTTGATCGAGTTGGTGGTGACCGTGACCTGTCCCTTGAGTGATGTCTGTGAGACGTTGAAGGATCAGGAGCCTTCCTATACACGAAGAACAGCAACCGATAAAGCCGCGCTCCAGGAAAGCTCATTTCATGACGGCTTAGAAACAAATGCTAGTGATGATGGATGCCTTTTGACTGGAGGATGGTGACGGCATAGTTGCAGGCGCCCTTTGCAACATTTTAGTTATAAATACTGGAACCTCACGAAGTGAGAAAACACAGATCCCTGGAACTTCTTCTGAAAAACTTTTTGCATCGAAGTATCAATTGACGCAATCGACGTCAGTACAGTGTACGCGGAAATTCCTCCAGTATTCAAATTTATTCGATAATAAGACCGTCTATGTAAGTTCAGTACGACTTCAACCCTTTACGTGTTTTTCACATCCACTGAGTCAGAAGAAATTAGGCCATTATTTTGATAACCTCGCCAAAGTGCTTTTTGACTTGACTGAGTCACATTACAGGGCTCCTTGACAATTTTCTTTCTCCAACACAGAAACAGTTAGGTGTAAATTCGACTTGCCAGTTAGATTCTCGTTCATTTGAATGTCTACTTGGTCGCAAAAGATGATCGTCTTTCTTGATTCTGCCTCTGTTTTGGTAGGATCTGCACTGGTTACCACGCGCCTGGGACTGTTGCCTATAGTTCACATCAAAAGAACGAGGTCGGGTGCTATCGTTGCCATCACTACTAATGACGTAGCGATTGTAGCGCACTCGGTGCCGATACAAAGAACCACCACCACCATCTCCCACGTAGCTCAGAGAAGCATCAAATCTATCAGGTGAGGGATGTCTGTAAACCACGGGTTTGACGTAGTGTCGAGACGGCATCTCATCCTGGGGCGAGACAAAACGTGAGCCACGCCGATAATACGCGTCCGTAGGGTAGGCAGAGTACGAATCATCTCTGGATGTCCGAACGGGGTAGGATTCTCTCGTTCCTCTATAGCGATGATCACGGGATGCTTCTCGACCAGAACGCTCATCGCAGCGGATTCTGAATCGGACATATCAATGGACAACCAGCTTACCTCGATGACTCGTACTGCGTAAAAGTCGGTAAGCTTTCGTAGTTGTGATCTCTCGGATAAGGCTAAAGACAAAGACACGTTAAGTGCGCACAACAATGGGCACCACAACAATGAGAAAATTGCAAAATTGGAGGAATGTCTGCCTTCTAGAAGCTCTTGGACTCATGACAATTAGTTGGTATCCATTCAATATGGTATATTGACCATTTGTTTAACTTCAAAATTCTTCAACTCGAGAAAACAGCATCAGCAGTGTAGTTGACTCCTTCAGCTCCGACATAGCCAAGACGGCGGAAATATGAGGTACTCACTATTTTGAAACGGGATCTTTTTGGATTAATACCAGGAGCCTCAGCTTCATCAGAAACCCGATGACGACTCTGTCGGAATCGAAACGATCGTGTAGAGACTGCCGCGCTGCCTCCAACAGGATGCATGAAATTTTGAGCTCTTCGAAGGGTGCGTGTGAGATGGGAATTGATGAGGGCAGATTTCCGATATCGCCCCAAAATATTTCGGGCATTGCGTCGATGAAGATGCTCGTTCGGCGAGACAGAGCCTACACCACCAGTGGACTCAATCGGACGTGAGCTGACGATAGCTCTACTACCTAATAAAGTAGGGCAGGATGATTCACACACCGCACAAGGCATACATACCTACGTCTTCGCGAAGACGTCTCGATTTTGAAGAAGTTGGTGTCCCAACCGACTTGTTTTTGTCAAGGCCAGACAACGGTTCGCTCTTGGGTGATTTTGACACGGAAGATGGAACCTTGTCGGTGGCTTCAATTTTTATAATTTTGCCATTAAATTCAGTTCCGTCTAACTTTTTAATGCAGACGGCAGCGTCATCTACAGAAGCCATTTTCAAGAAGCCAACACATCCACCAGGCGCGCGTGTACTCGCCAAAATCTTGGCTGAAATGACCCTACCGTGAGGGCTGAAAAATTGCTTTAAATCAACGGCCTTTGTAGGCATTTTCAAATTGCTCACGCGTAGATAGGCTTGCTCAGGTGTGGTTGAAGCTTTTGTTGACTGTGATTTACCCAGTTGCTTTTCCGGGTATATCTGTTTTGAGGTGGTGCTAGCTTCGCTGAAACGAAAAGGAAGTCGAATGAACCAGACAATCCTAGCGTGGATGCAGTCGAAGTTTCAGGCAGACCAACCTGTCCATATTTTTAGCAGTGGGAGATGTACTGGATTCCACTTTATGGTCTTCGGCAGAAGCCAACGCATCCTTAATGTCATAGTCAAGATCGTCTTCAGTTTCACCGACTCTCACCACAAAAGTGGTTGCATCTTCCGATTGCTCATTTGTGTCTTCCTTTGGTTTGTCTTCAATTTCGGACGCATCTGCGGCGCCAATCGAGCCTTCCGATACAGATGTTAAGTGGGACTCAGGTCGTCCTAAATTATCCAACTCCACTTAAGGATGCCAGATCACAGTGAATGAATTAGAGAATGAACCACCGATTGAAAACGTTAAACGTGTCGATTACATTCAACAACATGGACGTTGGATACATGTCGGCTTCAAAATCTCTATTTTCACCATCGACTGAGAACAAAAAGCAACTCTTGCTCGAATTTGAAGCACACAATTCAGTGTAGAAGCTAGTCCCTCAAAGTCATCACCAATAATAAAACAATGCTCATGTTAAAGACCCAAGCAACAGAACACAAAACGTTTGACTCACCGACTACAGCCTCGCCGTCGGAGACTTCCACCTATGAACATTTCTTCAAGCAAGAATGCCCACCTACCTTAACAGCTGGAGCGTCATCAGGTTGACCCATTCCTGAGGTATTGGATTTCTTAAAAATAAAGGTCGTTGGATCGTAGCCCTCTTTTAAAATAATCTGAAAGTACACAAGATTATGCGATGATACCTCTCGTAGTCTTTCCATCAAAACCGGTTTTATGCCGCTCTTGTCGACACCACGCTTCTCTAGTTCGTTGCGCAACTCCGTCACCTTTAAGTCACACAGAAAGCGTCTCGACATTTTTGCGGCATCGAACCTTGATCGGCTCAAACAACAGTAGTTCTAGTATGGTTAGTAATAAAAAAGGTTTAGTTTCGGTATTCTTCTGCTAAATAAGTTAGTGCTGCAAATTTACAGATTTTCTCCTGCCCTTTGCAAAGATATATATTAAAAAGTATTGTTTAGAGCGCTTCCAGTGTCAGTGCTACAAGTATATCTGTTATAAGAATCGGCTGTGACAGCGACTTGTCTAAAATGTAAATTGCCTCCATATGGCTGTACTGCATACTAGTGTTTAAGCTGACCTTTCCAGAGCAAAGGCGATGAGGGGATTCGTACGCGAATCCGTTGCCTGAGGATCGTGCGAAATCCCTCTCCGGGTAATATCTGCTATTAGGCTCATCTGTACTCTTATTCCCATTTTACAGCATTCAATGTCTAGTAAATCTACTGCAATAAACCCTCCCTTGAAGTCTGTGAATCAAGAGCATGAAGGTAGGCAGGCTATTATTATTTATATGCGACTCAGCGTTTTAAAAAATGAATTGATATTGTAGCATCGTGCTCCTCGCACTCCACATTCTCAACCTCAGTCTTCCCAGAAAGAGGTAAGCACCCTCCTATAGATACAAATAAAAAGGAAAGAGTGGAACAAATGATATTCAAATCAGTCCAGACAAGGACCTGCGAGGTGTGCGATCCGACTTACCGCTTTGTCCAAAAACGCATATTTAAACAAACGCTGTGTATTGCACTTATATTGATACCTCAGCAACTCATTTTACTACTTATGTTATCTCATTAACATTGGTTAAGATTAACCGCTAGCTGAAAATCTGCAGCCTTTATCGCTTGTGCTCGTTTCGTGTTACGATGCTCCTAGGAAGGAGGGATTAGAACCGAAACGAAAATTTAAGCCTTTATTTTTAGAAGTCAGTTAATGTTAATACATTATTTGTCATCTATGCTCGTTTATTGTCAATATTGCTTGACATTGCGGGTGCGTAGATACAGTGGGAGTAAGGGGAAAGAAGACACCTGAGAGTCATTTACTTCTGGGCAGCTTTAAGAACAGTGAAAAGGCTAACACTAATCCCTGATTATCCTTCAAATGCTTCCCGACCCGACACACTACCGCAACGCCTACCTTGAGTTACCTCATCTTTTAGGCATATGCGCGCCTACAATACCTCCTGATTCATCCCTCCATATAACTCAAAACCT